TGGTCCTGTATTCAAATAAATGTTTTTTTATATCCGTAATTTTTTTAATTAAAAAAAAATTTTAAGGGGCGGCAATTTTTTTTTGGCCTGGGGCGGCAACTTCGTTAAGTCCGGCCCTGCATATTTGTGAAAAAATACATGTCCATATTTATGTAATCGTAGCGACAAAAATAAAAAAAATAGAAATAGTGTGCATGATGCCTTTACAAAAATATCTGAAGAAATGGGGATTGACATCAATTTAATTAGTATGTCATATTTCATAGTTTCGATATAAATTACATAATAAACTTTACTCTATTGTTGACTCGCCTTGTACATTCATACTGATATACCTTGTACATGATACTGAAATATTCGGATTTATTAAAATATAATTATATATATTATTAAAATTCAATTTTTATTTTTGACAGGACAAAGAATTGCAGTTCAAATAAAAATTATGCGCCTTTCAGATTTTTTAAAAATTTTAGACATGTAGCTGCTATATTAAAATATATTGTGGTGTGTTGTTGCATAATCGACTAATTTCCAAGCATCGAATGGACGAAGGAAGGAAGCGAAGGGACGAAGGAACGAAGGCATTTTTTGGGATTTTATAAATAAATAAATAATATCCGTATGCCACTTACAAAACATCAATAAATTAAATTATGGTAATAATTATCAAACCAGTATTGAGTCATTTTGATAAAAACAACCACAGTAAATATTTACTTATTCGCGTGTTAGTTGCCATATGCGTTATATTTATCAATTCGTCAATTTTTTTAAAGATGTACAATAATTAGTGGAAAATAATATTTATATCTTATCAATTAATTCTCTACACATATATATATTATAAAAGAGCCAGTCATTGTGTTTTGCAAAACGAAATGATCTGACTATCTATAGAGTATTCTACAGATACACTGGGTAAGCAAAATTTACAGTGGATTTATATTTTTTTTTGAAAAACGTCTCTATCCTAACCTAAGCAACTTTCAAAATAAGAAATAGAGAACGAGGGGCTACAAATATAATAGATCCCCAATCCCCACTAGGCTGGAGTAAATCCCCATTTAGCATCTTGGACTCCCCTGTTTTAAAGAAAATTTTGAGGTATGGGTATTATTTATCAATTTACTTTTATATTTATACTACTGACGATTTGACTTCTGGATAGTTTATATAATAAATTAATCTTCCAAACCATATGTGTATACTATTAAAATAATAACTTCCTCAATAAAGAACCTTAGTAAAGAACCTCCATTTTTTAAATTAATGTACTGCGTTTTGTATTTTTTAGTACTTCTTTTATTAAAAGTTTCTTTTTAAATTTACCAAACCAAATACTAGTTAATAGTTTTATTTTATTTATGTTATATAATTAACTTATGGTACTAAATTTGACAATAAATTTATAGTAAATATTGGTATTACCATTTAGTATTAAGTAAATGGCACGATTAAATGTACTTATATCTCTCGATGAATAACCTTATTATTTAAACAGAGTAAACATTAATTATTATTCTAATAAAAAATAAATAAAACAACGAAATAAAAGTCCAATTTGCAAACGCACTAAAAAAACGAAATCCAAATTAAATATATATACGCACTAGGCATATAGAGGGCGTTTCAAAAAATATGTGCCATCTCTCGTGAAAAGATTCCTTACGTAAAAATAAGATTTGTTTTTCACATCAACATAGGTCCGATTCTGCTTTGTTTCGTAGCTACAGGGTGTTAAATCTTAATATAAATATTTCGATTTATTATAATTTTCTTCCAAGTAGTTTTAGTGATTCGAATGAAATTTTGAGGGTAAAAGTTACTATAAGTTACTATATTTTAATGCTAAAAAAGTGTCGATAAATTCATCAGGAACGTGTGTATGGGTAATCACTGGAATTAAAAAAACATGTACGCCACTGACTTTTTTTTCTTCTGATATCAAAATTGTGTAGGCCGTTTAAAGTCAATTAAAAATTATCTCATGATATTTTGTCGAATTGGGTCTCCTTGATGAGATAAACTCAATTTTATTAATCACAATTAATGAATGATATATTTTACCTAATAATTTATTATTAAATATTATTACTATTAGTTATTATTACTATTAGTCCAACCTACAGAAATTTCAAATATAAAAATAATTCTACTTAAGATAATTACAAAAAACCTAATTTTAAAAAGTTTTAACATCCTGTAACTCTAAAACTATGCATTTCCATACCCATGTTTATAAGAACTTTTTTTCATGTTTTTTGATGAGGAATCAATGAGTACTTATTTAAAACTTTCGCAAGTTAATGATATTATTTTTTTTAAAGGTTACTGACTTGGATCAAGGCAAATTAATAAAATTGAGTTTATCTCATCAAGGAGGCCGAAATCGACAAAATATCAAGAGACAAATTTTAATCGGCATTAAACTGCTTACACCATAGACTTAAAATAAATTTAAGTCTATGGCTTACAATATTTCGCTATCAAGAAAAAAAAGTCAGTGACGTATATGCTTTTTCTAGAAAAATATTCCAGTGATAACCCATATGCACGTCCCTGGTGAATATGTTTAAACTTTTTTAGTTTTAAAATATGTCGAATTTATAGTAACTTTTACCATCAAAATTTCATTCGAAACGCTAAAAGTACTTGGAAGAAAATTATAATAAATCGAAAAATATTAAGATTTTAACAACTTAAGATTTTTATTTTTTGTAAATTCCCAAACATATGTTTGATAAAATTTCTGGTTACTGATTTTGAATTTTGGTTCTTGAATTTGAATTTTGATTAAAAACAAGAAGCAACTTAGATCTTTGGGTAGCTAGCTTTGATGCAAATATTTTTAAATATTCTCTCTCTTCAGTGGCCTAGTAAGCAACAGAATTTCTTAATTACTATTACTATTTTACTACAACTATTAATACGTTATCAATTATAAAGTTGCATCAGCATATGCACTTCTAAACTATTTAATAAATTAATAATCGATGACATATAAAAATGAGGTTCGCAAATAACATAAACTAACATTTGTTTGCATGTGAAATTTGAGCTGACGACATTATCATAGTAGATATTATCCTTGTTTATATATTTGTATATTATTCTAAATATCTTGAAATTAAAAGTCTGACTGTGATTTTTTCCTTATTAAATAATATTCAAAATGAAATAAAAATTTTACTTGATGTTTATTTTTCTGTACAATTTTGTATTTTAATTTATACTAGTACCTATACAGGGTGGTCTGAATTGTATTCCGGAAACTTCGGCAGCACATCCTGCAGATAAAAATAGGTAAAAAAGTTCGTATAAATGTATGTCCTAAAATGCTTGGTTTCGGAGATACAGGGTGTAGAAGTTTAATTTTTATTTCGATTTCTTCCAAATAATTTCTGAAGTAACGTCAATATTTGGGTGAAAATTGGTGTCTGGAAGTTTTTTGACATGAGAAATTTGATTTTGATGTCAATATGACTTCTACTTGTAGAGGGCGCCACCTACATGTATTTTAACTGTTTTGAAGAGTAATAACTTTTCGTCCGTACCCGTATAAAACTATGGCGTGAAAAAAAATACATTTCCATGACTTTCTATGTAAAAAATGTTTCTTGGTAAAAATCGCTACGAGCAGCCGTTCTCAAGATATTTAGAATGAAAATAGTCAATACAAGTCATCATTGACGAAAAATAAACATGTTGAGTAGATATAATAGTTACCTGACCGAAATAATAAATTTGGGAAATTTTTATTTTCTTAAAATAATCCTAAACTTTTATGTGAAGAAATGATGATAAAACAGTTTCTGTTGAACTTGTGGCACAAAAACATTTCAAATTTATGATTTCAGTCTAACAAATATTTAGTCAACATGTTTAATTTATGTCAATGATGATAGGTATTGATAATTTCGATTCCAAATATCTCGAGAACCATTACTCGTAGCGATTTTTACAAAGAGACATTTTTTACGTAAAAAACTTCGTAAATGTATTTTTTTTTACTCAGTAGTTTTATACAGGTGCAGACGAAAAGTTATTACTCTTCAAACCAGTTAAAAAATATGTAGGTGGCGCCCTCTACAAGTAGGAGTCAGATTGACAACAAAATCAAATTTTTCATATCAAAAAACTCCCAGGTACTAATTTTCATCCAAATATTGACGTTACTTATCACATAAATTATTTGGAAAAAATCGAAATAAAAATGAAACTTTTACACCCTGTATCTCCGAAACTAAACATTTGAGGAGATACATTTATACGAACTTTTTTACTTATTTTTATCTGCAGAATATGCTGCCGAAGTTTCCGGAATACAATTCGGACCACCCTGTATAGTAATTTCAGTACAGTTTATGGCTCCAGGAGTACAGTAATAAAATAAATAAATTTGATCAGGCATTAATCTAATACTAATTAATTTTGAATTTTTTTAAAACATAGTATAATTAGGGTTTCCAATTTTCGGAATCGGGATCCCGTTTTGAAATCCCGGGATAAAAACTTATCATCCTGGGATTGACTATCGGAATGAGGAATTTAATCTAAAGAAATACTTAATAAAAATGCATTTACTTATATCAAACAGAAAATGAGAAAACTTTTAGAGAACTTTATTAAAATAGACAAAACAAAGTAACATTCAAATTTTGTAATTAAAAAAAAAATAAAATTCTTGCTACAAAAAATTATAAAATATAGCAAACACGGAACTATAGGTTTTATATACTTTTAATTTTTAGATATTGACGATTGACGTTTTGCTTAGTATAATAAAATATGATCTTTGAAAGACTAAACTGTATAAAGTCGAGTCATTTTACATTAAGCGTTTAAATTTTTCGAGATTTTTGGACATCCCGGGATTTACTATCAGGATTTCGGGGATAAATATATACCGGGATCACGGGATTTCGCGATCCCCGGATCCCGGTTTAGAAACCCTAAGTATAATATTTGGAGATAAAAAATTTAAATAAAGAAGACCCTTAAATGATACATTTTTATTATTTAAAAAATATGAATACAAATAGAGTATAATAATTTGCGATGAAGTATATCAGATTAGTATATTTTTAGGTAAAATGTATTTATATAGTCAGTAAATCAAAGATGATATCAGTTACGCTTATTTTTTCTTCTTTCCTTTTCCTTTGCCACCTCCTTTACCTTTGCATCCCTTACTCTTTTTACTCGCAGTATCATCAGCACCTACATCTTTTGGATCGTATTGAGTTTCAACCTTAAATTAAAAGAATATTGGTATTAGTGAGAATCTCAAGAATCACCTTTCTGTAATATTGAGCAACAAAAAATTTGGAAGAGAGAAACGTTTGCTCAGCAGTTAAAAACCATACTATATCGTGGTATACCGAATTTTCAAAACCAAAGCAGAAACAGGGATATGAGTATTTTGGCCGAAAACTAAATACTCCGAACCAATGATGAATCGAAAGATGCGTACATCTTATCTTAGATAGGAACTATAGGAAACAAGAAATAGCTTTCTTATCCGATAATCAAGCAGCATTAAAAGCGATCAACTCAGTAACCATCAATTCGAAGTTGGCCAAAGAATGCCTAGAGAAGCTGAACAAATTAGGCAAAGAAAATAAAAAAAAATAATAATCACAGTATAAGTGTAAAAAGGTTATAAAAAGTTTATATGATAGGGCAAAAATAATATATTCAGACGACATTTCACTAAACAGAGATATAAACCACATAAAAAATACATTAATAAAAACCACTATCCACCATGTTTTATTGACAAAACATTAAACGAAATACAAACCCCAAATCATAGACACAATGATAACAGTACACAATATATACAACTTACAACTCCATACATACGAGGCGTTTCGGAAAAAATAAGGATAGGAAAACAATATAACATATACGAACATCTTTCAAAACACAAAATACACTTAGATCCATTTTATCACATACTAAACCAGTGAATACAGAACAACAAACAAAAAATGTAATATACCAAATACCATGTGAATGCGATAAATTTTACATTGGTGAAACATCTATCTAGTCCCTTAATGTTCGAATTAAAGAACATAAAGATTATTTAAGAAAGGGAGATTTTCACAAATCTAAGATTTGTCAGCATTCATGGGCCACAGGGCACAGAATAAATTTTAATAACGCCATAATGATAATGAAAGAAGCGATAGCCTCTAAAAGAAAAATAAAAGACGCTTTTTTAATACAATCTAATAAAAATAAATATATTGCTCATGCATCTGTAGATGTTAGTAATGTATGGCAATCGCTTTTTGATTTTAAAAAACATAACATAAATAAACATAACATACGTAAAAATTAAAAATAATCATACAGAAAGTTTGGAGCTTTTTGGTTTTACCTTATTAAGTAATTGTTATCAGGTAGTAATTGTCAATTTTGAAGTTTAACTTGATATAATGTAATTTTAACAGAATGTCAACGGTTTTTGTAGACGTATCTGTTTTAAAAAACTAAAGTGTTCTCGAATAGTTGAATTTAAATATTTAAATAGTTTTTTTACTTTATTCTTTGTATTTTTTTTTGCTTCTGACGACGGAAAGAAATAAACTTTCCGAAACGTTAAGCATTTTTTTGTTCGTTAGGCTAATTTGTATATCTGTAAACCTAACTGCTGACAAGTAGGTTCCGTTTGGATTAACGCCAGCAGTGTTTACACAAAATCACTATTTTATTTTGTAGATTTTCTTGCAGTGGCGAAATACCCATATAGGATTTTTTGGAGAGATGAATTCGCCACATAGGTATAGACATTTTTTAAAGAAAATAAAATCCTCCTACACTGGGTTCCACCTCACCAAGGGCTGGAAGATAATGAAAAAGCAAACGATCTAGCTAGAAAAGGAGCGAACACTCCATTAACTGGATCAGAATCGTTCTGCCTCCCAGGTGGATACCAACTTAAAGCATAACTGAAGAAACTGGTAGACTTCATCCGTAACCTGGAATGAGAATCTTCCAACGGCCTAAGAAACTCGAAGAAATTTCTCAGGGCCCGAGAAAAATCAAAGATTCTCCTCAATGAACACTTCAGTAGATTAAAGCTAAGAAACAACGGCGAATGTAGATTCTGTGAGGAAAATGTTCTATAAACTTTGGTACGACTAATATCGGAGTTGGAGAAGTAACCTCTATAAACCCGTCTCAGATACTGGCTCAGATACTTGTCAAAGCCCTGGGATTGTATTATCAGCTATAACTCAGAAAAGGAAGATCCAAAAGATATACAAGGTCGCGATGATTATCTTCTCCCCTCCCATACAATCTACAATACTGACAGGATCCCTGACAGTGCCAGTTGTGTCTGTCATTTTAATTCACAGGCAAATTGTATTTTCTGTCATTCTTTGGATGTCGTCTACCGAAAGGAGGGTATATGGGGCCTTTGGGCCGAGTATTTGCACTGTTTATTGATATGCTTAAAAAAAAATTGACAAAAAGTAACGTGCATGATGATAGCTACTGAAGAAGTCTGATAATCTACTGAATCAATTAGACTGAATAAATAATGAACGTGAAAGTTTAAATATACTGTTCAGTTTAAGCGAACACTTGTGCTTACGTGCCTTAATCGTTCAGTTTCACTGAATATGTCACTGATTCAGTGAGACTGATACGACGCGAACCTTTGATTGTATTCATTGCTGAATCAGAAAAAAGTAAAGTAAAGATTTCAGTTAACGTCTCCTTTTTGCTGCCAGGGCTAATCTGGACGGGGCCTACTTTGTTTACGCGGAATCCGAACCGCGGTCCTCAGCCATATCATGGTCAATGGCCTACCGACTTAGGAAGTGTCTAAATCAACTCTTACTCACGAGATATCCGATCTCATCCGGCCTCGAACCGGCGTGAATGAGCAGTGTGTATCAATAGATTTTACACTTTTCCCTTGGACAATTAACAGCACGATACAGAGTTTCGAACCGGTCACCCGTCCATCCACTAGTATCGCCTTACGTCGCTTAACTTCGGTGTTCTAATGGGAACCGGTGTTTCAACGTAGTTAGGCCGTTGCCCTTGAATCAGAAAACATTTGAATACAGCAAATATACAATATGATTTTGTTACTCGTATAGCGGGTTTTTACGGGCTAGTCTCGCAACCCATACACTGTTGGTATTTGTATGGTGAATTCTAAATACAGGGTGTGTCCCTGTATTACACTCTGTACTTATTGAGGCAAAGTATATTAATATAATATATCCAATTAGATAATAGATTAGAATAAAAAAAATTAAAATGTTTAATGACTGTCTACTCTCTATAAGATTTAAAAGCAAATTTTGTGTGCAGTATAATTAATAATCCATTAAAATTCCACAAAGAATCAAACCATTTTGAAATAGTTTTCTCCGAGGAAGTACGCATTTATTTTTAGATAAATTGAAGTGTTCAGAGAACTGCTGATATGTTTATTAGAAAATTGTATTTCTTTGCACTTAGATAACCTTAATGACCTGACATTAAGACATTTCTTTGTTACAAAACAAATGAAGACATACAATCGTAATCAGTTTTTTGCAGAGAACTAATTATTATTTTAAGGTTCTATCGTAATATCAATATTTTTTGTCCAACTAATATTGATTGAATTGATGAATGTGTTTTGCCCAGTTACAGCAGTTACGCGACAAGAAACTACAACTCTAGGAGCGCGACGGCTGGAGCGAACACGTCGCCACCGAGATCGCCCGACGCTACATACAGTTCCAGTAACTATTGTAGGCGACCGACGAAATCGCGACGGCTCTGGAGCTAAACACGTCGCTATGCGGTTACTACGGTTCAAGCTAACTTCAAGAGCGATTATAAATAATTTATTTACAAATTATAAATAATTTATAATTTTGACGTCATTATGATCGTCGTTCTTCAGTAACAGGTTCCCCATTTGTTGTGGAGCGCGACACGGCGTTACAAAAAAAAAATACGGCTCCAAAATCGCGTTACTTAAATACCGAACACATCACTAAAAGAAACACATTTTCTCTTTATCGTATTTCAAATAAGTCCAAAATAACGGAGTTGAGTGAAAATTTCCGAAAAAAATGATTTTTTGCTAAAATTTTGAAAACCACTGGATCTTTTCTGGATTTTCTTTCTTATAAATTTAATCTAATACCTATGTTGCCATATTATCAGAAATTATTTTATTAAACTAAAAACTAAAAAAATTCCCAAAAAATTTCGAATTTTCAAAAATTTTCTTTTGCGAAAAAAACCTCATAGGTGTGTTTCTGGGGTTGTACTATACTACCAGTTAAAATACTTGCACTCATTTCTGGGACACCTTGTATATATTTGATATCAATTAAACTTTTAGTTACATAATCGAGGGCGCGATTTTTAAATTCAGTGTTGCCATGTTGCCAACCATGGACATATTCGGCACTGTGCTGACTAACTGGAATTTTAATTTCGCGCTGGGGATTCAGGTGGTAGCTCTGCTGTAAAAAATGTCAAGTTACCACATTTCTTTATTTATTTCCTGACATTGTCATTCGTTTTGATACCTTAGTTTTGTATTACGAGTTTTTGGTTTAAATAAATAGTGTTGTGATAATTTAAGCTTAAAAATGTTTACTAACAGACCTTGCAGCCGTACATTGTTCTTTTTAGAACCTCTTTTAGTGCTATGTGTAGAATATAGCTTATTAGCCGTAAAAAACTCATCGCTCTAGCACCTGACTAGGAGCTTTCTAGACTAACAAGAAAGTCTCGCAACTCCTAGAGGAAGTCGCATCTCTTCATAAATATTAATCATTATCATAAATATATCGCATTGTATAGGAGGTTACATAGCCTTAATAGTATTTTGTATTTTGAATAGATACGAACTCTCCATTGAATAGCGGAATAATATACTGGACGTTCCATTTAAAATAAAAGAGTAACTTGCTTTTAAAACTGACTAATGTTCAACATTAATTTCGCCTCACCCTGTATAACTTTCCGACTAAATATAAGAAATATAGGGCTAATTACAACTTAGGTAGCTTTTATTGAAATTTAAATTTTATTCTTTAATTAAAATTTATAAAATCTTAAGTATGTCAAAAACTTTCCATTTTTTTTTCTCTAGTGCTTCTTTAATTTTTTCTTTTATTTTTTTCTAGACCCTTTTTTTTCTAGACACCTTTATTTTTTTCTAGAATCCGAAAATTAATTAATATATAGAGTGTTCCTATTTGTGTTCGTATTGTTTCCTAAAGAGAAGTATCAGTTTTTAGTTGATATTTCTTGATATCGATTAGAAGATTTCGTAGTTTAAGGTTAATCGGCATTTTGTAATTATACGGTATGTCATTTAACTTACCGTTTCTTTTTTCGGAATAGGTTTCAACGGTGGACCTTTTGGTGTTTGAAGTTCTAGTTCCAAATTATTTTTCTTATCGACACCTTCGCTTTTCTTGCCTATTCTGTAAATTGGAAAAATATAGGTTAGTTGTAGCACATTCGTTTATGATAAAATTAAGTATAGTGATAGGGCAGGGATTGTAGGGAGTGCTACATAACTACATTTAGCGCCAATCAAATCTTTTAGTAGTTAAAAATTATTTTAAAATAATTAAACTACACACGCGACAATCTACAGGGACTCTACTACGCAGATTTGCCTGCGTAGTATGCCCTGTGAGTAGGGCATCATTAATTCAGCGATGTAATTCAAAATTTTAATATAAATAATGGGACGATATCCTAAAAATAAAAATTATTTGGTTGCTACATATTGATAAGAATTTTATGGATTAACAAATTTAGAATTAGGCAATCAAAATATAAGTATCATTCCATTCCAGTATATATACCGGATGCGTCTCAAAAGCGGCTCACCTCTATAACTTTTTTATTTTTTCAGATAAAAAAACGAGATTTGGTATATTAGTATATGAGTCCCCTAAATTCAAAACTCGGTATTTGCTAGTCACGCAAATATTCAGGAAACCAAAAAATTTGTCAGTTATTAAAATACATATGGATTTGTTTTAAATCTTGGTTTTAGTTAACTCTAGTCATATCGATTTAAAACTACTATTCTTTTTAATTTGAAATCCTACCAAAAACTAAAAAATGTACTTTTAAAATTAAAAACCGAGTTTTGCACCTGTGTTTTGAAAATACCCAGTTTGCTACTCAAAATTGCCCATACCCATAAATATATACTTGTGGAATTTAAAAATTACTTTCAGATTAAACCCATTTTCTTTAAATTGAAGGCACAAAGTAGTGCTAAAACATTATTTATTAGACATAATAATATAAAAAAATATTTTAACACAAAAAAATATTTTCTAACTAACTAAACAAAACAGGTGCGTACTTTGAAAAGCAAACTTCCAAATTCCAAGTCCTTGGAATAATAATAATCCTTACAAACAAGAACCGAAAAAAGAAACTTTTCTAACTACTAACCGAACTTTTCTAAACTAAAAAACATGCAGGTTCTTAGGCACTTTAGGAAACAGGTTCCAAACAACAAGGGCTTAGATTCTAAGTTCTGGATTTTCTTCTTCCATAATAATTAAGCCGTCTTCATCTCTCTGTTTACTGTTCGTTTTCTACCTTTGCCAATTTCACAAATTTTTATTTTAACGAAGAATGGCAAACACGAGCGATGGTAATTATTACTACTGCCCTTTACCAAATCCAGATAAAATAATAGGTCTGTTCGTTTTCCTGTTATTATCGATTCTGAATCGTCCTAGAACTCTCCAGCGCATGCGCAAATGAAATAATGTCTTCATATTTCCTTCTGCGCATACGCATCACAATTCTAGGACGGTTCAGAATCGGTAATAACAGGAAAACGAAAAAAGCTAATAATGCACGCGACCACATAAGGCGCAACGCCATTGGCCAATTGCATTTACACAGTTTTGCATCTGACAAGTGAGAGCAAATACAGAGTTTTGCATTTAAGCTTTGTTTTCAAATGTATTTTTAACATACAGATACACAGTTTAGCAACTTACTAACTAGCAGATAAGGTGCATGTTATGATAAGCAAGGGAATGGCGCTAAAATCCCGCTTTTCAAAATTTCGTCAAATACCGAGTTTTGCATTTAGGGGACTCATATGACCTAAATTGAGCGTCCGGATTGCACAACGACCTTAGCGCGTGGCCGCTGGGCTGCCAGTAGGCAAGCGAGACAGCGACGCGCCGATTTAACAAAATAAATAATTTTAAACCTGCCGTCATTTCGTTAATAATTATCGTATCGTGTTGATTTTTGCATAGAAATACTCAAGAGTCTTTAGCGCTTCCGACAAGCCTCAATAACTGGATTATTTTTTATATTTTCGATTTGTTTACATTGCCCGAGCATATTATAACTTTGAGATAAAAATCTCTGTCATAAATTTTAAAACTAACAGATATGAATACTATCATTCAATTAGTTAGAAACCATAGCCACAATAGAGAATGTAATTTTACCTCGTCACGAGATTTTTTGGAAATATTTCACTTCCATTTATCCGGATTTCTACTAACTTTTGACCTTTCTTTTCGGTCGCATTTCCCTCTATTTAATAATAAATAATTTAAAAAAAACGCATAAATACTACTGGTAGTAAACAAGCTGTGGCAAAAATTTTCTATACTCCGTATAAACAAAAGACTATCGCAAATACTGTCTTTCGATTGACGTACATAGCCATCTCTTTATTAACGCAGCGCCTCTAGCTCTCGCAAAAAAGCCGCATAATTCAAGTTTTTTTAAGCTAAAACAATGCAATATTTTAAAAAAAGAACTACATTATAACCAGGAGATATCGGCAATGATAATGTTCTTGTCATTTGATCAAAGTTCAGAATTTATTTTCTGTAAAAATAGCGCTAAAACTAAAACCAAAGCTGAACATGCTCTAAAAACGGCGAGCGTTGTACTGACCATTTCTTTATTTATACTCGTTATTACTGCTAGCATAAACCGATAGACCTAAATTTTGAATATGTTGTAACTAAATGTATAACTAATTAAATGATAGTATTCGTATCTGTTAGTTTTAAAATTTATAACAGAGATTTTTATATCAAAGTTATAATATGTTCGGGCAATGTAAACATATCGAAAATATAAAAAATAATCCAGTTATTTAGGCTTGTCGGAAGCGCTAAAGACTCATGAGTATTTCTATGCAAAAATCAACACGATACGATAATTATTAACGAAATGACTTTTAATGAATTTTAAAATTATTTATTTTGTTAAATCGGCGCGTCGCTGTCTCGCTTGCCTACTGGGCTGCCCGCGGCCACGCGCTAAGGTCGATGTGCAATCCGGACGCTCAATTAGGATTGATTGACGTATTCAATTGTTTTTGGTCAGTTCCTGTTTCACCGGAAATGACAACAACTTTTGATTTTTAAAGGGCACCATCGGTATATTTCTACCTTATTCCATAAAAAATGACACTCTGAATAGAATGACATATCATATGTCAACTTTTGACATTTTTGCATATGGTTTATTTGAAATTGGAACATGCGGTTCATAACGAAAATTTGACTTGAAATACCAAAGTGTGGTACCAAATTATTGAACGGGCCACCCTTGTTCTATGAGCCACCCTTGTTCCATTTGAAAAACTTGAATAGATTAAAAATACGATTTTGACATCTTTTAACCAGCCAGGACAAGACACGAAAAACATTAGACGATCAAAACTATTTTTCCAAGGCTTCTTGATTAAAGATTAGTGTCTTTAACACAGCCATGGCAGTCATGGCACTCTAGATTAAAATTTAAAATACGAATAAAAAATGTTTTTTTTGTAAAAATCGCTACAAGCGACCGTCTTCAAGTTATTAGAAATGGAAATAGTCAAGACATGTCATCATTGACAAAAAATAAACATGTTGGCTAGATAGTTATTTGGACTAAAACGATAAATTTGGGAACTTTTTATTTTTTAAGCTAATCATAAATTCGTTTCTGTTCAATCTTTGGCACAAAAGAGTGTTTCAAATTTATTATTTCAGACTAAAATCTGTTCTAAAACTATCCAGTCAACATTAATAATTTTTTTCAGTTATGACATGTATTGACTATTTCAATTCCAAATATCTTGAGAATCATTACTCGTAGCGATTTTTACCAAAAGAGCTTTCTTACGTAAAAAATGGCGGAACTGTATATTTTTTTACTAATTAGCATGTAACGAAAAGTTATTACCCCTCAAAACAGATAAAAAAATATGTAGGTGGCGCCCCCGACAGTACAAGTCATATTGACATCGAAATCAAATTTTTCATGTCAAAAACCACCCAGATACCAATTTTCATCCAAATATCGGCGTTAGCTCAGAAATTATTTAGAAAAAATCGAAATAAAAATAGAACTTCTACACCCTGTATCTACGAAGCATTTTAGGACTTAAATTTATACGAACCTTTTTACTAATTTTTATCTGCAAAACATACTGCCGAAGTTTCCCGAATACAGTTCGGACCACTCTGTATATTAGAATATCAAAGAACTAAGTTCAGGGAATTTATATCAAGTTTAATGAGATATAAACTGCTGATTGTTATCTATGAAATTTGTAATTGGTTTTAATTAATAGTTATGTTAATTTATCAAAACCAGTTTGATTTTTTTTCATTGCGAAATTGATATATAGCTGTTCTAATTCAAATTTACGTATAAATTTGCGACATGCTGTAAATTAACTATTAATAATCAATTTGCCAGTATACATATTAGCTTAATCTGAAGCAGATTTATCTTAAATACTTGTAGATATATCATTAACATATAAAACATTGCTATAAAAGATGTCATTTATGTTAAAAATTGTTTTATTTTGTCAAATTTAAATATACAAAAAATTTTTATGAATAAAACCTGAAAAATTAGAAGGATTTGGCACACTCATATATTTAACAGACATATCTGTGCTAACTAACAAGGTGTACACTGTACTTAGTTCGATTTAGAATTTTTTGTTCTTTATTTTTTATGCCTAAGTTAGTTGTATCACATTTTCTATCAATTAATTAACCCAGTGTAGGAGGTAAGATCATAATTTTTTTAATCTTTTATAATGTTTGACACCAACAAAATTAATATATGTACAAACATTTATAAATTATTATTATTAGGATTATGTCACTTCACAAGTTCGTAATAATGTTTGCACCAAAACCAAATAGTGCTAATTATAATGACTAATAGGTGTAGCTAATTAGTTGTAAAATCCAATGAGACCTATTGCTATTAAAGAACAAACATTAATTATTAGAATTTTGCTCTTGTTTATCTATGATTTAATACAATGTCTAAATAGATGAGTTCATTGCTCTGTATTTATGGTATACTATAATTAATTTGTAAAATAACTAAGTACATAACTATAACTAAGATATATTATATACTATAATTAAGATATACAGGGTGTTCTATATTCTACGCCAAACTTTCTAAAATATAAAATAATTATTCTTCGTTTGTTTAGATGGAACACCCTGTATATTATTATTTCAATAGATGGAGAATTAAAAAATGAACATTTTTTGCATTTAGAGTATCTTTTAAAAAAATTTAACGGTTTTGCAGATATTCCCGGTTTTATATTTCATATGGCATTTTCCCTCGTATTTTACCATTGAAAGCGCCATATGAAATAATACTGCGTGTACCTGCAGAACTAAAAACTTTGAAATACTTTAAATATAAAAAATATTCATTTTTTAACTATCCGTCTAATAAAAAAATAATATACAGGGTGAGAGAAAAAATATTTTATATTTTAGAAAGTTTGGCCTAGAATATTGAACATCCTGTATGATTTACGATTACCATATTTATAGCAAAGTAAGAATAGACCGTCTAAAGTCTAAAGTAAATACCTAATACAGTTTTGATTTCAGAACAGTTCTTGTATTTTTAATAATTTTTTTAAGAAGGGATGAAAAATTTATATTTTTGATTTATTTTTTAATATCTCTGAAACTATGGAAATATATTTACTCATATCTTACGCTTATATAAAGTGATCTGAAAGAAAGCCAAAAATGCAATAATGTACAGGGTGTTCCTTTAAAAAAAACGAAGAATAATTATTTTATATTTTATAAAATTTGGTTAGAATTTTGAACATCCTGTATGATTTACAATTTCCATATTTATAGAAAAGTAATTATAGACCCTCTAAACTAAATACCTAATACAGTTTTGTTTTCAGGACAGTTCTTGTAATATTAATATTTTTTTTAAGAAAGGCTAAAAATATATAATTTTTATTTATTTATTAATATCTCTGAAATTATCGAAATATATTTACTCGTGTCTTAGGAAGCCAAAAATGCGATAATATACAGGGTGTTCCGTTAAAAAAAACATCCCGATACACTCACACTTCTTTCTTTGAGCCACCCTAAGTTAAAATATTTTCCTAAAATACATCCTGGTACATACTTTAGGTTTGCACTTTAACAAAATTCTCAAGTTTTTTATACTAGGAGCTACAGATGCCCGACGCACTATTGCCGGACCCTGTATATGCAAAATATAAAAAACAATCTACTATGGTTAGATAAGTAATTTATACATCGTACATTGTCGGTTTTCTGTAAATGTATAAATTAACTTTATTTTGAAACTTTTTTTGAACGTGCTTGTTTTATTTTATCTGACCTTAAAATGAACATTTCTTTATTCGGATCCGAAAATTCTGTAAACTGCGTCCCATCTGGAGAAGTGCATACGGGTGGATTGACAACTACGTTGCCACCCTGTCCATAACCGCCTGAGTCGCCGTGTTGGCCCATTCGAAAGGAAAACGGACTGTTTCCTGGTACGCCGGGACGCATGGCGAATGCCTGAAATAGAGTATTAAAATTACCAAAATACCACTTGCTACTTGTAGTCCTATGGGTATTTTGCCACTTTGCTACTTGTGATGGAGTGTCCAGAGACTTATATTTCGTAATTCATATACTGTGAATGTATTAATGTGAATTCTTTTGTATTGTATTTTATACAGTATGTCCTCGGATTGTCTTTACAAGAGGAATAACTTTTTTATTATTATTAACATTTTGAGAAAAATGCATTTTACATAAAAATTTTTGCTTGTTCTAAAATAGTTAATCCTGTTTATACTTTTCCAAACTTCCATACTGTTTTAGAGAAAATTAGGAAAAATATGAAAATATGGTTGAATTTTTTTCAAGTCCTAAATATCAAAAGCGTTTCTATGATAAAAAACTCACCGGCAAAAAAAACCGGCCACTAAAAACTAGTCCCAATTTCAAAGTTGGATTTCTCGCGAACCGTGAACCACTCATTAGATTTTGATGATTTTTTTTAAATTGTAAATTAATTCCTTCTTAATGCTAAGTCTGAAATTTTTATTCCGAATTTATTTTGAGCATATACAGGGCACAACAATAAGACAAAAATTTTTGCCCGAACTTTGTAGTACCTTGTAGGGTGCAGCAGCTGTAGTAGCTATTGCTAAATCAAATCACATTGTAGCCTCATATTTTGTGAGCATTTTGTTTTTCCAATCACGACATATTCTCTGTTTATATTGAAGATACGCTGCTTTAAAACGAACGTCTCGGAAAAATGCTTCGCAGGCAGAAAGTTTCATGTGTAAATAGTAAATAATCAAGGCGACATAGGCGAAAACGGATTTATGAGTATTTGTAATATGACAACAACGGTTGTCAAATTAAAAAAAAGCCACTATCTGTGACGGATGTTGCTCGTTATGTGGCTTTAATTGAGGATGGCCGAAGTCAACGTTATGTGTCCGATACCCTGGGTATACCTCGAAAAACAGTCCAGGATGCCTGGAATCGGTATATGGAAACGGGAAATTTCACCAGGTGGGCAGGCGAGTGGGTTCTGGAAGAAAACGGAAGACAAATTGCTTTATTGTCCTGAATACTTTACGAAATCGTAGAATTACAGCGTTTCAGAATCAACATCTGCTACAAGCCGTGCGTAGAACTCAAGACTAAAAGAAAACAGCTTGTCTGCAAGGAGACCTGCCACAGGACCCCAGCTACTTCCAAGACATCGTTGAGCACGTCTTCAGTTTGCGAGTTTACATGTGAATTGGGATACTGAGCAATGGACTAAAGTCCTGTTCACGGATGAATCGCGGTTTTAAAAATCTTCCACTTTTTTGCTTGCCTGCAAAGCATTTTTCCGAGATGTTCATTTTAAAGCAGCGTATCTCCAATACAGAGATAATGTCGTGAATAAAAAAAAATGCTCACAAAAGATGAGGCTACAATGTGATTTGATTTAGTAATAGCTACTACAGCTGTTGCATGGGCAGGGTTGGCATGATTTAAATCAAATGATTTAAATCATGATTTAAATCGTGATTTAAATCAAGTGATATTTTTAATTTTAATCATGTGATTTAAATCAAAAAAATAATCTTATGAAACTTTATAATAAATCAAAAAATAACTGTAAAAATTATAAAAATCTATCCTAGAAAACTATAAAAAATATTTCTATAACAGATATAACAGATAATAAATCGAAAAATAATTGTAAATTTTATAAAACTATATAAATAAATATCTATTCATCAATTTAAATGTTGAACCGATTTTTGAAGTAATTTCGTGTGAATCCATAAGACCGCTAAACACAGGGATTTATTTTAAAATTTATGTATGTGACAAAAATTCGCTGTTCGAATACATATCATTCGCAGACTAGTGCAGAACTAGGTTCTTCTGATATAGAGACTATATCTTCATTCCCGAAAATTTATAATCGTTGTCAGAAAATATGTCATTTTATATATATTTTTTTTTTGAAACGTTGGTATGTTTCCAAATTCTTACCGATCTTTTGATTTGTAGTAAGTACTTTACACTTCGACATTAGATAATACTAATTTCGTTCTCGATTTAAGACTATTTCCGAACAATAGTGTATTTTTTTATTAAGAGTAGAAATTATACTTTTTTTGACGATGCTGTACATTTGAATGACCATCGTAAACCTATTCCGACGTTACAAGGAAGCACAAAAAGTACATTTTTACTCCGAATAAAACACTATTTTTTTTAAACATTACAAATAATTTTTTAATCAATTTCAAACATTGCAAATAATACAAACAGTAATCGAGAAACAATTTCTACACTCGTTAAATTTGACACTTAATATCAGTTTATAATATATTTTTATACTTTTGTGCTTAGGCCTAACAGTTCTTTACTTTTATCCCTAGCCGTTAAAATGACAAAAATTAATACTTTTGAGATGTTTGAAAAAAAATCCTTTTGATCTGAACCGAGCGACTTTTTTGCGGAATATATTGGTGACCGATGTGGAAAAATGACACGCGCCATAGAATTGTTAATGTTATCGGTATCGCTCAGTGTTATAAAGATTTAGCCATTTAGGATAGGACTTTAATTGGAAATAAGTCCTAGTCATTTGGAAATCCGATTTAAATATTGTTTTGAATTAAAATCAAAAAAATCTCTTTTCTTTATTTTTTTTTTAAGAATCATGATTTTTTCCAACCCTGCTACAGGGTGTTACAAAGTTCGGGCAAAAAACTTCGTCTTATTGTTGTGCCCTGTATATGCTCAAAATAAATTCGGAATATAAACTTCTGACGTAGCGTCCGTTAAGAAGGAATTAATTTACAATTAAAAAAAATCATCAAAATCTAATTAGTGGTTCGCGAGAAATCCAACTTTGAAATTGGGATTAGTTTCTAGTGGCCGTTTTTTTTTTGCCGGTGAGTGTATAATTTCGTTTTCATACTTTAATAGATTGTCGTTGCTAAAATTTTAATTAAGGTTATATTTTTTGTTATTTTAAAATATTAAAGAAGCACAAAATTTATTTAGTTCAATGCTACGGAAAGGGTGATAGTAGTTATCGGAAAATGTGGTATTTTAACAACATCAAAAAATCTGACGTTAATCAAAATCATATCAAAATTAATAATAACCATCTATCAAAGAATGAAAACGAAATTATAGTAGCATAGAAACGCTTTTGATTTTTAGAACTTGGAAAAAATTCAACCATATTTTCACGTTTTTTCTGATTTTCCAAGTCATCCAATGTTGCCAGAATAAAAATAAAGTCTGCAAGTATAATTAAAAGTAAAATTTGTGTTTAATTATGTATTTTTTTCTAATTATTTGCCGTAGAAAAATCGATGAAAATTTTAATTTTTTAAAATGTCTTCCCATGTTTTAAGTATTGATGAACCTACTAGCGAAGTTAAAAACACACGTCTATAATTTTATTGTTGTAAATGTGACAGCACCGGAATATATAGACGAATTTAATTGTATTTTGCCGACATTATTTTAAGTAATAAAACAAATATGTTCCGTATAGCATCATTGTAAAACAAGTTAATTGTATAACTGCTCCCTGAGCAACAAAAATGTTTTGTTAGTCAACGCCATGATTTTATGTTGAATTTGGACGACTGTATCTCGGCCATTTTATCGAGTCGGGATTTGCAAAACAAAATTATCGAAATTTAATTCAAAATAATCGTATTTATAAGAAACGAATTAGTTTCCAATAATATCGGATATTGAAGAATGTCGATTTTCCAATTTACAGGTAATTTTGCAGTAATTTCCTAAAAATTAAATATTTATTATAACTGCAAAATCTTATTAAAACGAAAGCGCCTTAAAATATTTCCACAAATATGGATATATAATATCACTAAAATTTGCTTCGCAGAAAAATTTGACACCTGGAGCGTTTTAGGCGATATACTTTTATACAATTTGCATCTTTCTTTAAATTAGCCATATCTGTCATTTAAATAGAATATATGTGTACTTTGCCATTTAAAAAAAAAATCAGTTTTATCTTGGTCACTATAAATACACGATATTATAATTTTATTCTTGATAACTAAAAAACAAAATGCAGATGCATGCTAGAAAAATATTTTAACTGAGACAAATATGTTATTTTTTAAATATTTATAAATCTTTTATAAAACAGTTTTATAAATATTTTGTAATGTACTCAATATTATTTTGTAAGCGGTTATCGGAGAGTTTTTAACGTACTTCTAAATAAGTATATTGTTTTATAAACCTGCGCCTTTTTCGTGTTTATAACTATCGTATTAGGGTTTATAAAGCACTTAAAAAATAGTACATAATATTTATCATGAATTGTTATATAACACTCTATATAACCATTTTAAGCACATTTGTGCCACATGGGTTGGTTATAGTGGGCCGATTTTGATGATTTTTTTAAGCAGTATGTAGCCAAAGTATTTGATCTCTTTCTAAATTAAAAATAAAAAATTATTAATTTAATTTTTAATTAATTAAAAATAATAAAATCTGTTAATTATATGAAGAAAAACAAAATGTTGATATTTTGGCGAAAGTTTGAAACACCCTGTAGAATGTGTTAAAACAGCAGAAATTTAATCATTTTATCATCTAGATACACCCTTTCTCGATAGTTTGTTTTTTGGTTCATCTCATTAGCATTATTTTTGTTGGAGATATTTGCTTTTGAAGAAGACATTAACATTTTTTGTTATTCATATTCACCCTGTAGAAATCTAATGTGACTATGGTATGAGACCAGGGCCGCGTAATTGACAGTAAAAAACAAACAAGTAAAATCGTGCTATCTGCAAAATCCATAATTATACCTAAGCTACTTAAGAAAAGGTTTAGTATTTAACAAAAATTTAGGATATCTGTTGTGTTTATCAGCTATTTCTAGAAATAGTTTACTAAGAAACGGAAATTGACTTCCGAGACTATTATAAGCATCCTAACTAAAATATCTACTCAAATATTGAATTTCCCAATATTTTGTTAATGGGAGGTATTATTAATAAATATCAGAACATTTAGCGTTTGAAATACTTATTTTATATTTGAAAAAATTAACTTTTATTTCTTAAGCTTCATTCAGAACCATGAAAGTACTGGAATAAATTAGTGGTTTCAATTAGTGTTTAGGAGTTCCTTTCTCAAATTTCAATGTAAAAAAAAGAACTATATAGAGAATATCCCATGTAAAAAACATAAATTTGAGTCATACTTGAAGAATAACAGCTCCCAATGAAAATCTAGTTACGCCACTGAATTCTACGTGAATAGCTCTATTATGCCCAGTTATCACATTTTCGATAAGATATAAGAAACCGAAATATGAGAGAAGTCGAAAAATTAAATAACTTCAAATTCGCCGTGTATTTCAGTAAGCAAAAGGGCTAGGACAAATCTGTCTGTACTATCTCTAGTTTCATAAAAAAGTAGCTTAGTGATGTGAAAACCGCATCTTTGTATCTCTACTCATAAATGAGAAACCCTTAAAACACACGAAAATGAAAGGAAGGAAGGATTTTATATAAGCCAGCATCAGCTGCATCAGCTTCCATTTGGCGGCATTGACTACAAATTACATAATACACGATAATTAAACACCCTGTACTATTGATGGGGCATTACGATTCTTTTTAGCGAATCAAACTATTCAATTTCTCATATTGACCGATGATTTCTCATATATCTCTACGATTCGTTCATTTGTCTTTTTCAACGAATCACACGCACAATTTACGTTTCATAAAAACCAGAATCGTAACTGGCACTACCCGCGATAATTTGGTCGGACAATTACTTAAGCGATCCGAAAAAGAAATATACAGTTCTTCTTGATCGAAAAAAATGGCTTCCAGTTGGCTTGGAAATGAACATCGATGACATTCCCCATATAATTTTATATATAAAATGACAGCGGTCTTCATTTTATAACCATCGCTGACGCCGTTTTTCTTATCATATTGAGCAGAGGCCATATTGTTGGCCTCTTATTATTTGGAGTTGCATAAAAGCACGATTTCGTCTTTTAGTCACACACTTAATGGTTTATAGTCGGTAATATTATTTTAACAAAAATATTAACGTGAAAATTAAATACCTTACAGATACTCCCGTACTAAGCACAGTATAAATATTTTTTTTTTCTTGTAAATAACTTTCTTATCGTTTGCATTTTATGCCCTTGATGTTTGTTTAGGGCTTTTTGTTCAAGTCTAAATATTGGTGCCTGACTCTATGCCTATATCACCGCCAGCGCCGCGCCGTAGAAACGAACGATCACATTGTGATCCGATTCAATTCTCACGATTCTTTTTTACGGCTTAGCATTCAAATCTTATGGATCCGTGCTGGCCACGATTCAATTGAACGAACCGTATTGCAAGAAATGATTCAATTCTCACGACCATTCGAACTAACGATCGCATTGTGATCCGATTCAATTCTCACGATTCTTTTTTACGGCTCAGCGTTCATATCTTATGGATTCGTGCTGGCCACGATTCAATTGAACGAACCGTATTGTAAGCAATGATTCAATTCTCACAACCCTTTGAACCAACGATCGCATTGTGATCCGATTCAATTCTCACGATTTTTTTTATGGCTCATCGTTCAAATCTTATGGATCCGTGCTGGCCACGATTCAATTGAACGAACCGTATTGCAAGAAATGATTCAATTCTCACGACCATTCGAACCAACGATCGCATTGTGATCCGATTCAATTCTCACGATTCTTTTTTACGGCTCAGCGTTCATATCTTATGGATTCGTGCTGGCCACGATTCAATTGAACGAACCGTATTGTAAGCAATGATTCAATTCTCACGACTCTTTGAACCAACGATCGCATTGTGATCCGATTCAATTCTCACGATTCTTTTTTACAGCTTAGCATTCAAATCTTATGGATCCGTGCTGGCCACGATTCAATTGAACGAACCGTATTGCAAGAAATGATTCAATTCTCACGACCATTCGAACCAACGATCGCATTGTGATCCGATTCAATTCTCACGATTCTTTTTTATGGCTCATCGTTCAAATCTTATGGATCTGTGCTGGCCATGATTCAATTGAACGAACCGTATTGTAAGCAATGACTTAATTCTCACGACCATTCGAACCAACGATCGCATTGTGATCCGATACAATTCTCACGATTTTTTTTACGGCTCAGCGTTCAAATCTTATGGATCCGTGCTAGCTACGATTCAATAATTGAACAACCCGTATTGTAAGCAATGATTCAATTCTCACGACACTTTGAACCAACGATCGCATTGTTATCCGATTCAATACTCACGATTCTTTTTTACGGCTCATCGTTCAAGTTTTATGGATCCGTGCTGGCCACGATTCAATTGAATAAACCGTATTGCAAGCAATGAATGGAATCTCACGATTCATTTTTAATACTCGTTCAAATGAACGACTCGTTTAATCTTTGCCCATCTCTACCCTGTACTGTTGAAATTTTAAAAAAATAAATTTGTGTTTACAATTATTCACCTGTTGATTTTGGCTTTTTCCAGAAATAGCCAACGCTCCTCCATCTCCGCAAGTACAATCCGGCGCGTTTGGATCGACCTGCTCCAATTTGCCCTTGTCCTTATGAACCCGAATGGTTAACGAGTTCCCGCCCAAACTGGCTCCGATCTCTTGATAATTTCCATCGGGAACTTGCGGCATTACTGGTCCCATATCAAAAGCGTTAGGCATCATGCCAGCTCCAGGAGGTAAACATGCCGCGTTGGGTATGTATCCGCACTCATTGCAAGGCGTCATCATGTTATTCGCCGGTAAGCCGTTTTGGAATCCGCCTGGCTGCTGTATCGGACAACCGGCCGGGCAACCGGCAGCATATTGTCCAAGTCCGTTCGTGTTCGTATTGGGAAACCCGGACAAATCATTGGGCATGGAGCCGTAACGTGGATTGAACGCTTCCTGAGGACCTGCACCACTTGGTCGAAGACAGGGTGAGGTGGGACAAGTTGAATTGTATCTAGAATAATTACATTAATTATCATATAATTCTACTGCTTGTTGCAATTGTTTGAAAGTGGTAAGTAATAAAGTGGTTTGAAAGTGGTAAACAATGGTGATAATATATTTTCTTGGACTAACATTGCCTTTAATATTGATGTTTTTAATGGTCAGAGCAAGACTTATTACAAGAGGGAGATTTATATATCGAGATTTCTACTAGCACGACTAAAGAGCTTTATATTTATTCATACTAATTAAAAAAGTATCAGAAAAATATATCATTAGGCAACACCTTACTCTGAGGGCGACACCACGAAATACCATATTGCAGAACATGTCTGGATATAATGGTTGTTTCACAAATAGATTATAAATATACAGACTATTGCATCGCCGATCTGAAAACAGGAAATCCCATGTAAATTTTAATTTAAAGTTTCTCTATTTTATAGGGAAAACTTTAAAATAACATTTACAAAAAAGAAGCAGAGTTAATTGTTTACTTATCTATGAAATACATAAACTATATAAATACATGTTTATAGAGAATACAACTTAGGATAGTTTTGACAGATCTATGTAGAAGAAAATCATAGTAGATTTGCCATATTGTGACATAACTTTAATTTTCGCCTAATTTAGTATTTTTCTGTCATAACTCAAGAACAAGAATTCGTATAAATTATTTAAAATGAACAATTTGCTTGATTTTAAGGAGTTTCTTAAAAAGTTTCAAATAATTTTTTTTTGAAAAATGGCACAAACTCATCATTTTCAAAATTAAATGGCATTTCCTGTTCAGGTCGACGATGCAACAAATTGTATAGTATTCCAAATTAGTAACATTATCAAGACCTAACGATATAAAATATGTTCTCTGACAAATATGCGGTTCTCAGTACTAGGCAATGATATGCCATTGACAGAGAGCTATTATGCGGGGTTCAGTCTCCAAGTCGCTAGACTTTTTGAAAAGGATAGGACTTGAGAATGGGTGACTGAGAAGGGTCGCACTACAACATTTTAAATTATTAAAAAATTAAATAAAAAAATATAAAATAGTGTGGTCTAATCATCTTAATTTAGTAAAATGTACAGGGTGTCCCATTATAGTTGAAATCATACAATCTCCGTTATTAGTGAAAGTTACTTTTTATTTCGTTTACTGCATCTTCAGTTTGCCAAAAAAGCAGGACAGGTTTATGCAAATCGCCTCGTCCTATCTTTACTCTTTACTAATAACGAAGATACTTAAGTCTTTTTTGAATTAAATCATTTTAATGACTTAAGTCATTTGATTTCAAGTCATTTTTGAAAGCTGACTTAAGACTGAAAAGTCTTTTTGAAAATGATTTGTGATTTAAATCTTTATTCCGAAATAGAACAAGATTTAAGTCTCTTTAGAAAAGACTTAATCATTAAAAAGACTTACGTCATCAAAATGATTAAAGTCTTTTTATAAAAGGCTTAAGCCATATTTTTGTATATTTTTATAATACATTTTTAACAGCAGCATTTCTTTTTAAACTGTTAGGCGGCAGCCAAGCAGCAGAATAAAAAAAACAATGCTCAATACCACTAGTAAATAAAATGATAGTTTTTCGGAGCCGGTTTTGATTATTTGTCGTATTACGCGTGCGTAGTGAGTCTGTTGTCTTTCAAGTGAATCACCGACTCCGTTATGTAGCCCGAAAGACGAACGAAAGAAATTTATCATGAATATATTGAAGAGTACCTTAAAATCCTCCAGCCCTTAGGTTATGTCATCGATATATTACATAGTGATCAAAACACATCACCACTTTTTAATAGACATGTATTCGATGACATCTCTGTAAAAAAGTCTGTTAAATTTTATAAAAAAAAAACATATTTTTGTGTTTGTAGTTCAGAAAATTAACCGTTTTATTTTATGTGGTTTTAGTCTCATCTGTATAAATTAATAATATGATATTTAGTAAGAAAATCGCTAATTGGTAATACAAGAAAATTAATATTAATATTTAAAAAAGGTTTTTAAATTGGATTCTGGTTGTTTTGACTTGAGGGTAATTATATTGATTTACATCATTTTACTGACTTAACTTGCATGATTTAAGTCAAAAATATAGACTTAAGTCATAAAAACGATTTAAATAACGTTATATTGATTTAAGTCTTTACAAAACTGACTTGACTTGAAATAAAATTACTTATTAAGTCAAAGACTTAAGACAAAGACTTAAATCATTTGAACTTTACTTAAGACTTAAATAGTTTTGATTTTAGAAATGACTTACGACTTAAGACCTAAGTCTTTTTAAAACTGACTTGTTGCAGCTCTGCGTATGATTTCAGTACATGGGTCACCATGTACAATAATAATGTTTTAATTTCAAAAGCCTTCTTACCCTCTTTGCAAATCCCCACCTTGCTGTCCACCCTTTTTACCAGCCTTCTTATACCTATATAAACTTTTTCCTTCCTTGTCTTTAAATAACACACTTTTGTCGTCCAAATTCATTTGAAATTGGGTCACGATGAGCTTTCCAAAACACGACATGCGAATGTAAACACTGATTTTCCCTATTACAGTGCTGGCGTTTGATGGATCGCTGATATTGAAAACGTCTTTCAGTGTTTTGGCTGTGGGAGAGCTGCCATCAGATAATTCGACGCTGCTGATCAACTCATTGAATAAATTGGATACGGATATAACAGATGCACCTGAAAACGTTTCAGTTGTCAGTTATACCGGATGCGTCTCAAAAGTGGCTTACCCCCTATAACTTTTTTATTTTTTCAGATAAAAAAACGAGATTTGGTATATGACATAAATTAGGATTGATTGATGTTTTCAATTGTTTTCCGTCACTTCCTGTTTCACCGGAATACAACTTTTGATTTTTAAATTACACCCCCGTATTTTTTTACTTTATTTGATAAAAAATGACTTTCTGAATCGAATGACATATCATATGTCACCTTTTGACATATTCACTCAAAAACAAATTGCATTTTAAATTTCAATCTAGAGTGCCATGGTTGTGTTAAAAACACTAATTTTTAATCAAGGAGCCTTGGAAAAATAGATTTGATAGTCTAATGTTTTTAGTGTCTTGTCCTGGCCGGTTAAAAGATGCCCATATCGTATTTTTAATCATATCTCAATTTTTTCAAATGGAACGAAGGTGGCTAATTAACATATTTGCGGAAAAAGAATGTTTTTATGAGTAATATGGTACTACACACTTGGTATTTCGAGTCAAATTGTCGTTATGAACCGCATGTTACAATTTCAAATAAATCATATGCAAAAATGTCAAAAATTGACATATGATATGTCATTCTATTCAGAGGGTCATTTTCTGTCGAATAAAGTAGAAATATACCGAGGATGCCATTTTAAAAATCAAAAGTTGTAGTCATTTCCTGGTCCCATTTTTGGTATTTCAAGGCAAATTGTCGTTATGAACAGCATGTTATAATTTCAAATAAACCATATGAGTAAATGTCAAAAGTTGACATATGATATGTCTATTCTCAGAGTGTCATTTTCTATCGAATAAAGTAAAAAAATATGGATGGTGCCATTTAAAAATCAAAAGTTGTAATTATTTCCGGTGAAACCGGAAGTGACCGAAAACAATTGAATATGTCAATCAATCCTAATTTATGTCATATACTACACACCAAATCTCGTTTTTATCTGAAAAAATAAAAAGTTATAGGTGAGGGGTGAGCCACTTTCGAGACGCACCCGGTATAATTATTTTTATTCCAGTGATAATATACAGGGTAGCGTCTCTCGTAACACCTACCGAAAAATAGATTAGAAAAAGTTTTTTCGAAAACGTAAGATATTTGACATATCAAAATGAAACGCAATTTTAATTTAAATAATACGAGAGTTGTCTTTTATATTTTGCATATAGAAACATAGTAGGCGGTAAACATAGTAACATTGTCAACATATATCAAATGTTAAAATTAACTGTCATCTTTAGTTAACTTAAACACCAAATTTTACGACCCCTTCGTTTAAAGCTGTATAACTGAATTTTTCAAGTTGAGTCAGTCGAAAAATGAAATTAAGCCAAGAAAAATTTCGCGCGATAGTTTTTTATAATTTTCGAGGACACTTGTCTCAACAAGAATGCATTGCCGAATTGGTTTCCGTTTTCGGTAATGAACCACCACATCAATCGACAATTTTTCGTTGGTATGGAGAATTTAAACGCGGACAGATTACTCTTAGCGACGAGCCCAGAACAGATCCACCAACGACGGCAGTTACCCAGGAAAATGTCGATGCTGTACGTAAGCTGATCGACAAGATCGACATGTCACATATCGTGAAATTGAAGCATCATTGGGCATTTCTTCAATTCAAAAAATCTGTTGATGGAAGAACAGAAAGTAATTAGAGTCAATTGGGGTCAAAAAACTCTACACCGGTTTAACGCAGAAAAAAAATATTACAGTATTGTCAGTGGTGATAAATCATGGATTTACTCTTATGAACCCGAAAATAGACGTAAATCGGCTGTTTGGGTCTTCCGAGATGAACCAAAGCCGACGAAAGTTATCCGTGCTCGAAGTGTTTCCAAAAAGATGATGGCGACATTAAATTTGTCTCAAAAGCGGGTCATGAAGCAACAATTCGTGCAAAATCAAAAGACTGTTATTGCTGAATAGTGATTGGTACATATCAATTTGTTTGCGTAAGTAATTGCTGAGTTTCGAAAATTCAACCCTCAACGACGAATGATCCTCTATTAAGACAATCCAAGTTCCCACACAGCTTAAAAAAAATTTAGTTTTTAAAGCAACAAAGCATCCAATCGTTGGACCATCCTCCATATAGTACCGATCTAAGTCCTATAAACATATTGATAATCTTTACTTTTCGAAAAATTAAGAATAAACTAAATCAGAGGTTCCAGTCCCAGAATGCAGTCAGCGCCCTCAAAAACGCAATTTTGAAGGTACTAACAAGCGAGTGGAATAACTGCTTTCAGAATTGGTTCCAACGGATACAAAAATGCCTTTTTCTTCGTGGATAATATTTCCAAAAAGAATACTGTAGTGTTTAAAAGCTATCTACTGTTTTTTAGGGTTCCGTACCCAAAGGGTAAAAACGGGAACCCTCTATTACTAAGACTTCGCTGTCCGTCCGTCCGTCTGTCACAAAGGTCTATCTTATGAACCGTTATAGCTAGACAGTTGAAATTTTTACAGATAATGTATCTATGTTGCCGCTATAAGAACAAATACTAAAAACAGAATTAAATAAATGTTTATAGATAAAAAAGTACTTTCACTAAACATTATCTTACAAGTAAGAATTTTACATAGAATCTTCCAAGTCGTCGGTGCTCGGTGGCCGCATGGTTACAGCGTTTGGACTTTACGCTGCTATGACGTTGGAGCCGGAGGAGTAATGCATGTTCGAATTCTAGCCGAATTCAGCTATTTTAATTTTTACATATTTATTATTAATACAATTTTTAGCAATGTGTTTCTTCATTTTTTTTTAAATTACTTATACGCGCATTCAAAATTTCAGCTAAATCGGAAAAAAAGTTTATAATAATATACTGTCTAATGTTGTATAGATAATGAATGGTACGGAACCTTTCGTGCGACTCGCACTTGACCAATTTTTTTCTACACCTATATGCAAAATAAAAAAAAATAACCCTCGTAAGTGACAATATTGAGCGTATATTTATCATTTAAATAAAGCTTGTAGAATACAAAATTAAGGTTAGTTTAGTGTGATATTATTACTACAATTACTATTAACTGTCTTTTATCAAAGGAGGGTTTGTTGAAACAGTAAATAGTAGTAGATGAGTTATGTTTGATTGTTGAAATGTTTACTCTTAGTTTATTTTCAAATTATTTTCATTTGGCAGCGTTGTCTTCGGCATTATTGTAGATTTTAATCGTGCTTGTTTCTTGTTTAACTTAATTTTCTTACATTTGACTTTCACAAAAACCAAGAAAACGTACAGGAAGAGTGAAACCTACCCCCAAGCCTACACAAATTTTGGTATAAATATTTTCCAACTCCACCGACGATAGATTTTCTTTTTGTAAAATGGTCCCTCTAGTATTTACTACATTTTTTGTTTCTTGTAAAAGAACGCAATATCGCATAGTTTTTGAAAAATAAATTTTTGGAGAATTTATTTTTCCAAAGCAGAGCTACAAAATATACAGGGAGTTCCAATATTCTGTGGACATAGAATAACTACACATATTTTGAAGCAAAACAAGTTAATTGCACATAATTTATTTTTATACAACATTGCTTCGTTTGTCCGTTAGAGTGCATCACTCAAAAATAAACCCGAACGTTAATTAATTTAAAACGTATTATTTTTAAGGACAATTTTACGAAAAAAAATCGGGCGTTGGTTGAGTTGGAAAATATTGATACTAAAATTTATGCAGGGGTGGAGGTAGTGTTCACCCTTCCCGTACTTTTCCTCGATTTTTGTGAAACTCAAATAAATGTTAAAGTACTTAGCAAAACATAGACATCCAAAATCTCATTCAAATCGGAATAACGGTTCTTAAAATATTTTTGAAAAAATGTGCTTATTTTTTAAAGTTTGGTGTACTTTAACGGACAAACAAAGCATTTTTGTATAGAATTAAATTGTGTCCAATGAACTAATTTTGATTCCAAAAATACGAAGTAGTTCTATGTCCACGGAATATTATGACACCCTGTATAATAAAAGAATAAACATTTTTATCAGAATATCTTTCACTAAAGTTACATTTAAAATTACTTAAAATACTATTTATTTAAATATTATCTATGTAGAAAGTGCCTTTAGTAAAATTCTAATAAAAAAGGTCAAGAGTTGCAAGAATTTGGTGCAAAAACAAGGGAACAAGACCAAGACTCCCCTTGTCCATTGGCTCATCACATCCGAGCTTTGCCAGAATCTTTCATGATGCGGAACACCAAATAATAACCAACACATAAAAAATAAGAGAATCAAATACATATGTAAAATAGATACGATAAATACCTATTTCGACAGTCTCTGGCAACCATCCCGGTTGCATTTTTCTCATTACCGACACAGCTATGTCGAATTGCTCTGTAGCTGCCGTCGCTTGTTCTGGACTGAGCGAAAACAAGCAACTTTTCCCGCTCTTCACCGATCCTCTATCGTTTTTAATGCTTCTTTTCGGGTTGAAATCCGCCTCGCACACGTCCAAAGGCGCGTTATCCAGAAACTGGAAAGAGACGCATGTCTCTCCAGGGGGAGCTTCGCAGTCGCATTTCGGATCCAAAGTAACGCTGTCCACTAGAAACTCCAACAGGAACAGATTCTCGGTGGCAATTTTCTCCATAACGGTGAATTTTTATGCGAAACTGATTATTACAAACACATAACAAAATTTAGAATGAAACGTTTACGTTAAAAACGAGAAATTTTGCCATTTATTTCGGACGTTTGACGCATGTCAAATACGTTATAGATATACAGGTAAAGTTAGATTTATTATGAGAATCTTTTCGGTCGAAACTTTATATCTGGTGGAGGATAGTGGGTGTAATAAAAATTGCATGCTTCATTTCGAAATGGTTGGCCTACCCTAAAATATATAAAAAATATAAATTGCAAATTATACACAATAGTACCTATGTGTAACTTCTAAGCTGCGCTTCTTGCTGATCCCATTTGATCATGATTGCCTGTCAAGCTTAATCACGTGACTACTAGTATGGTCAAATTGTATTTTTTTGAGGAAAATTTTGGGGTAGTTCTGATTTTTATTTTGTTCATTATGTTTTTTGGTGTGCTGAATCCGAATCCGATGTTTGCTAACAAAATTTCTTGACAACATTGAAAAATACATAAAAAAACCATAAAAAAATGCAATTTTTGCGTTTGTTTTGCTTATAACTCGAAAAATGTGATTTTTTTCAGAAATAATAACTCCATACAAAATAAAAGTAAACAAAAAGTTATAGAAAAAAAGTGTAAGAAACCTAATTTTTTTCGTCACGAATTTTTTTTAGCAAACATTATTCACCAATTTTTGTTAGCAAACAGATTTGAATTCAGCACTCCGAAAAACATTACAAACAGAAGAAATCAGAACTACCCCAAAACATTCCTCCAAAAGGCTTTTTTGAGTATGTGACCAGACTATAACAGTTTATTTGATATTAACTATATTTCCGCTTGCGTAGTAAATCAATATTAGCTTTTTCCTATCCATTTTGAATTTCAAGAGAAACCCTTCACGAAAAGTGCGAACAAGGCAAATAAATATCCCAACCAGACGGGATCTGTTTACATTTGCAAGTCGTAAATGTATGCACGTATGCTCGCTTACCAACCCGCAGCTACTGTAAGAATGCTGTAAGACCTTGCATTTGCAGTAAGA